TGCAACCTTGTAAGGTCATCTTTGCCCAGCACCCTCCAGAGACCCCCACCAGCCCTCACCTTCATTCTTTGCTGAAATTGGCACTCCTTTCTCCATCACCCACATCGCCATGGCCCCTCCTCTTCTCCAACAGCTCTGTGGTTCATGGTGCCCTCTGCCATCTCCCCATGTGGGGTGGGATTGGTGGGCAGCAAGCAGAGGCCAGAACCAGCACGCAGTGGTGTGCCAGCAGGTGTTTAACAACCAACTTGAGGCTGGGTACCGTGGCTCATGCCTGTAATCCCAACACTTTGGGAGGCTGAGGTGGGCAGATCACGAGGTCAAGAGATCGAGACCAACCTGACCAACGTGGTGAAACCCTGTCTCTACTAAAAATTAAAAAATGTAGCTAGGCATGGTGGTGCATGCCTGTAGTCCCAGCTATCGACAGGCTGAGGCAGGAGAATCACTTGAACCGGGGAGGCGGAGGTTGCAGTGAGCTGAGATCACGCCACTGCACTCCAGCCTGGGCAACAGAGCCAGACTCCGCCTCAAAAAAAAAAAAAAACAAAAAAACACACACAACCACCAACTCGGGGGATGAGTAGCCCTGGTTTATACTGTTTGCCAACTTCCATGGTGTAAATACTCCTAGCATATCCAATTTCAAGCCACCAATATGAGATCACTGATTGCAGAATAGGAAGAGAGAATGGATCACACTTCTGCCTGCATCCATTTCCTCTCTGCCTCACTGACCCCTCCACAGACCTCTGGGCTGACAGCAGCAATGGGGCAGGTCCAAGCTGGGAGGGCAGCAACAGCACTGTGGCTGCAACTTCAGGCAGTCCTGAAGGGGAAGAGAAAAACTCTCTCCTCCAGGAACATCTCCCTCATCCACAGTCCCCAGTCATCCCTTATCTCAGCCTCACATCTGAATTCTCAAGTGTAACTTCAGAATCTCATTGTAATTTGGGGCCTGAGATCTAGAGACATTCAGATGACTCATCAGCCACTTTCTCGCTGGACATGGCTCAGCACCGTAAACCTTGCTGACTAAGGCAATAAAAACCAGAATATAATTTCCTTTCTTCCAAGGAAACAGAAGAGGAAAAAACAATACAAGGATAGTTTTCTCTCACTGATTTACTCACTCTTCGTCACTCTCCTACAGAACTGTGGGGCAGTTGGCACGCTGTAAGCCTGAAGACTCTGCAGAGTCCACCATGCAGGGGGGCAGAGGTTCTGGAGTCAGACCTGGTTTGAATCCTGGGTCTCCTGTTACATCAAAGTGATGCTGAGCAAGTTACATCTGTCTGAGCTTCAGTTTGCTCATCAGTGAAATGGGACAGTAATACTACCTACTCTATGGGGTTAGACTGTAAGGGTTCTCAACTGGGGACAATTTTGCTTCCTTGGTGTGACATCTAACAATGTTCAGAGACATTTATTGTCACGTTGGGTGGGTGGGCAAGTGCTATGGGTATCTAGTAGAAAGAGGCCAGGAAAGCTTTTAAACATCCTCCAATGATACAGTTTGGCTGTGGCCCCACCAAAATCTCATCTCGACGCCAGGTGCAGTGGCTCACGCCTGTAATCCCAGCACTTTGGGAGGTCAAGGCAGGTGGATCACTTGAGGTCAGGAGTTCAAGATCTGGGTGGCCGACATAGTGAAACCATGTCTCTACTAAAAATATAAAAATTAGCTGGGCATGGTGACACACACCTATAGGCCCAGGTACTCAGGAAGCTGAGGCAAGAGAATCACTTGAACCCAGGAGGAGGAGGTTGCAATGAGCTGAGATCATGCCACTGCACTCCAGCCTCAGTGACAGAGCGAGAATCTGTCTCAAAAAAGAAGGAAAAAAAAAATCTCACCTTGTAGCTCCCATAATTCACCCGTTGTGGGAGGGACCCAGTGGAAGATCATTGAATCACAGGGGCAGTTTCTGCCATACCATTCTGCTGGTAGTGTATAAGTGTCGTGAAATCTGATGTTTTTATGAGGGGTTTCCCCTTTTGCTTGGCTCTCATCATTCTCTTTTGTTGGCTGTCATGTAAGACATGCCTTTGCCTTCTGCCATGGTTGTGAGGCTTCCCCAGCCACGTGGAACTGTGACTCCATTAAACCTCTTTCCTTTATAAATTACCCAGTCTCAGGTATATCTTTATCAGCAGCGTGAAAATGGACTAATACAAGCCCCTTCCCCCAACAATGAATTATCCAACCCCAAATGCCTATAGTGCCATGTTGAGAAACCCCGGCCTAGAGGGAACATTCCGTGAGGTTATACACATGAAGTACTCTAAGTCTGTCTGCTTACTTTTTGTAAGCTCTCAGAAAACAAGCTGCGATTCTTTTGGAATGGCACAGTCTCACGCTTCTATTTCCAGACCTGAAATGGATGGGATGTGAAAACCCTTGAGTACTGAGAGCCTAGTTCACTGCTCCAGGTGTGAGTCATCCTGCAAATGTCAATTCCTTGTATTTAAAGCAGAGCTGAGACTGCACAAGTAACTCTGGGCCAGAAGCTTTCCCAGGTTGTCTCGGGAAAGGGACAACCTTAGGCTGAGAGGGAATAATTTTGTCCTGATGCTCTCCTTCCAGGAGGTTCAAGCATTTCAAGACTCAGAGACACCACACTGCTCACTCTGGGTGGATGTATGGTTTCCGCCTCACCCACTCACAGTGGGGCTTGGGAAGACCTCAGAAAAGTAGCTAAGACTCACGAGGCCTTGCTTATCCCAAATATCTTCCTTACCAGTGTGCAGTGGTTTGATCCTCCCCTGCAACCTGATGTGACATTCGTTCTCCAGAGTTGCAGTTTAGGGTCAACATAGTTCACTCTCTCCGATTAATACACATTAGTGTTTGTGGATGGATTCAAAGGCAGATCATCTTTATGGGGTAGGTGGGGGTATGCCGGGGACCCAGGACCAGAGGTATCAAGAGAATCTGGGCAAAGTACAGAGGCACTGGGTGTTTTAAAGGAATGGTGAAAGAGAGAAGACAAAGGCAAGTCAGGGAGTGTCTGCAGACTTTGGAGGTATGCCCACGTCTTTCCTGAGAAGTGCTGTGCCCAGAGGCAAACAGGTGGTGGGAGAGACAGTAAGGGCATCCAAGATTGCTGATACCAACCTGTAGCCCTGGCCAAGCTCCATCTCTCCTGAGTCACTGAAATGCAAAACCCTGGGGGTGGAAAGAGATTTGGGGGCCACCAGTCCAGCTTCTTTCTTGCCTGCCATCTCCCAGCTTGTCGGTGGCAAAGCCAGGGTGGGAACCAGAGACTGCTTGGCTCTGAAGCACGGGTTCTATGGGAACCGCAGCCTCAAATGCTCCACGGGCCAGACAGGTGACATAAGGTTAGATGGTTGGGTAAAAAACAGAGGGGCGGTAGCTGTAAGAAAACACAGGCTCTGCTCTGCATTCAAATTCAAATTTAAAAAAATATTGGGCCAGCCAAACAAAGCATATTTCTGGCCTGGGTGAGTGGATGAGGCCCTCAGGTTGTGAGTTTTTGACCACTGCCTAATAAAATGGTCTTCCCTATCCCCCCAGCAGAGATGACTGTTTGGGACAGATATCCAGAAAACAGCTTTCAGCTTTGGACTGTCTGTAAAGTAGTCCCAAGCAGATGGTGGTCTCTGCGCAAACACTTTCAGAGATGGGGTGTTCCTTTTCAAGGTGGCCTTAGGTGGGGCCTGCCTATCACTGGACTAAAGCCACTAACCACACCTGCCACGGACCCTTTTGCAAACAAAAAAAAATAAGTTTTGATTTATTTTAAAGACTGCTTCACTTTGTTACCCAGGCTGGAGTGCAGTGGCACGATCATGGCTCACTGTAGCCTCAAACTCTTGGGCTCAAGCCATCCTCCTGCTTCGGCCTCCCTTCTAGCTGGGGCTGCAGGTGCAAACGACCATGACCGGCTTATTCTTTTATCTTTTGCATAGATGTGGTCTCTGCTATATTGCCCAGGCTGTTCTCCAACTCCTGGCCTCAAGCGATCCTCCTGCCTTAGCCCCCGCAAAGCTCTGGGAGGAGTGAGCCGCCACGCCCGACCTGGAATTTATTACAAATAAAATACAAGCTCAGTGTGGAAACACTAGGTAATACAGATGAGCAAAGGTTAGAAAAAATTTCCATATCTTCCCTACTCCCCACCCCTCACCCCCAATCAGAAAGAAGTACTGTTGACACCTCGATGCATATTCCGAACTCCAGGTCTTTTCTTTGCATACATTAAGCTCTCAGCCTCTTGCCGCCTTTACGGTCTGCAAACCCATCGAGCAGATACCTTGCTCAGCGCTCGTACCACGCTGCTTCTCCGACGGTGGAAGGGGTGTACCACGCACCCACACGCTCTCTGTACCTGGGTTACAACCCACAGGTCGGGCCCATGTAGGCCCTTGGCTCCCCGAGCTTCTCGAGGGCAGACATTGTAACCTTTTTTACTCATTCCAGGAACTCTACAGCACCAGGCACACAGTAAGAGTTCAATAAAGACGTCTCTACCCCTACCAGCTCCCGCCTCAGCCGCCACCGCCTGGCTGCAGAGAGGAAGCGGAACGCGCACTACCCACGAGGGAGAGCGCCTCGCTGTCTCCAAGGTAACCGAAGGCAGAGGGGAGTGCTCACGCATGCGCACACTCGCCCTTCCTTCCCGTAACCTCGAGAAGAACGCAGCCGGTAAGACTGCCAGAAGCCGAGGGCGCATGCGGCGCCTCCGCCTTCTGTCAGTCCGCCCGCCCAGCAGCCTCCCCTCTACAAACATTGTCCGGAAATAGTGCCCATTTCTGGAAACCAGACCTCATTAACCAATCATTGCTAGGGAGTAGGAAGACGGGCTTACCAGGACGGGTCGTTTCATTGGCTAACTTGGGGAAGTGGGCGGGGCCACGGGTCGCCGTGCGGCCAAAGAAAGGAGGCGCGAAGTGAGACAAAGTTTCAGCCGTCGGTGGAGGCGTGGCCCCAGCGGCGACCTAGAAGGTGAGGGGGCGGAGCCCGGGGCCGGGGCGGGGCGATCGCGGGCCCGGAGCTCAGCGGTCGGCTGCCGGCGGCGGGAGATTGCGGGCGAGCGGAACGCTACATTCGCTTGGTTGCGGAGATCGGCGCTCGGCCGGTAGGTGACGAGGCGGGACACTGGGATCCGGAACGGGGCGCCCAGGGAGCGGCGGGGATGGATCGCCCCTCAGCCCTGGGCTGGGCTGCGGCCTGGCCCCTCGCCCCGGAGCAGTGGGGTAGGCTGCCGGGCCAGCGCAGCCCGACGTACCCCGTTCGACCCACTCGCGGCGGTCCGCAGGCGCGCCCTCGCACGCGCTGCCGGCGCCGCGCTCGCCCCGGGCCTCCAGGCCGCGCACTCCCGCCAGCCACACGCTGGTCCCGAGCGCGCGCAGAGGCGCCCTGCTTCCCCTTCACTAGCTCCCCGCGCCGCCGCCAGGGCAGCCCGCGCTGCTCGCCTGGTGTGCGCCCGTGTGCTCCCAGGATGGGGCTCGCCTGGCGCGGGGAGGATGTATCTGCTGCTGGAGTGCGTCCTCTCATCTGCCCTGGCGTGAAACCCTCCTGGCCTTTCCTGGGAAGTTCTCAGGTCACACACCTCAAGGCTGGGAGCAGGAGCTGACTGAGCCTGTCCTCAGCAAGCAGCGGGGCAGTGCGGGGCGCCCGCAGCATCCTCCCTCCGCCCCCTAACTCCAGTCCTCCTCTGTAATTCTGCTGGGGTCTCCAACTCGGGACTTCCACCTGTTGGTTCAGATATAATATTCCCATCTTGGAAGCCCATCGTGGCCCTGGCATCTTGCAACCACTGGGCACCAAGCAGACAGGGGCCACTTGTACCGTTTCCCACCTGCCCAGGAGCCTTCTTAGTGCTGGATAACTTCAGAAAAAAATGTTTCCTTCCTAGTTGAGGTTAAAAAGTTGCTTTTGGCCTTAAAGAGTGGACTGGAGGTATGAATGAAGAAGAGGATAACTGGTGAAAATGTACATACATCAGCAAAGTAAATGGCAAAATTACTTTTGATCACTGGAGACAATGAACACCAATGACTTAATTAAGGACTTTAAAAGCACGTGAAATTAAATGATGAGAGTGAGGTCACGATATAAAATAGCAGTCTGGAGTTTATTCCAGGAAAAATGTTGAAAACCCCTTGACTAGAAACATGATGTGGTTCTGAAAGATTAGAAAGAGATAGTATGTTAGCATGAGTGATGTATTTTCTACTTAGTGTCTTCATACCTGTAACAGCGAGGTGCTTATACCTATAACCTCCGTGTTTGTTTTTTTTTTTCTTCAGATGGCTGTGTGGTAAGATAGATTGTAGTATCCTGTTTTATAGGTGAGGCACCTGAGGCAGGTGTGAATGGGGCGGAGATGATATATATCTTGCCTGATCCCTCATAGCTGGAACTAAGGATGAGTCTTTCCCAGGATCCTAGATCAGGACCACATTATAGAATTCAGATGCAGATAGGAGGGAGAAGTTTTTGGTGTGGTTGTTACACTCTTCAGGTGAGAGGACACTTCAAAAGTGTTTGCCTTGCTTTGGTTGTGTTTGGATTTACTCTTGGTGTTTTTTAAGTGATGTCAATCAGTTCCTTCGGAGCGATGCGAGACCTCTGAATTTTTCAGACACCTTTCAGACATCCTCATTTATTTTGAAGGGTGTGGAGAACTTCTCAGAAGATCTCAAAATAAAAGTAATTGTCTCTGACTCTAATTTTAGAGATAAATATCCAGGTATATGTATCAGCAGTTTGTGAAATCAGACAGCAAGACACTGCCAAGCTTTGGGTCGTCTTCTGAGTGTTTTCTGATGATGAGGAGCAGTTCTGAAGGGGAGTTTTTGCCACTGGTATTGTCTGTTAAGAGTTTGTGGGAGCGGCACCACAGAGACCCTGCCAAATCAGTCTCCCTCTATTAAACAAAAATGTCTGGTTGGGCTGTTTCGCCTCAACAGATGAAGGTTTGGTTCCTCATTTTGGTTCTCCTGTCGAACACTGACTCCTTTGTGATCTGCCTGGAATATGTGTATATCATTGACTGCTGAGAAGATGGCTTGCACTGATTGGTTGTCCAGCCCTAGGCGACTGTTGTGATTTTTTTTTTTGTTGAGTGATAATTGATAATAGTTCATCCCTGGCTAGGGTCTGGTGAGAGATCTGTGGAGATGTGAAAGAGTGAAAACTTTATCCAGGGTTGTTTTCTTCGTTGCTGGCACCCTCTCAACAGTGTTGTATCACTTTGGCCTGTGAAGGCACTTTTAACTTCCTATTTTTTTTCCTGTCTCAATGGACAGCACATGGGCTTTCCTAACAAGCCTGCCTGCCTCGATGAAGAGCTGACAGATTCATATTGGTTGGTTTGACAGATGTCCTCTCTGGGGGGAAAGTTCAGAAATCTTAAAAGCAAAGTCAGTCCTCAATAAAAAGTCTATGTCAGCCCAATATGCATATAGGCAGCGTATTTCTACTGATGGCTTCCATCATCTCAAGGTTGTTTTTTTTTTCCTGGCAAAAGGTTAAAATGCAAGTAAAATTCTGCTTTCGTGATTAATAAGTCACTACCGCAGTTGTGTCTGATGCTTCCTGTTTGCCCCATTTTAGTATTTCAGTTAAACTGGAAACATCTGAGCATTATGGGCACTGTTGATGGCACCAGTGTGAAATTGGTGGGCAGGGGACAATTTGATATCTGTGGATTTAGGGAGTTCTAAGGATGTCAGCCCCTCTGGTCTCCACACACCAGGATTCCCCAGTAAGGGAACAGAATGAGGCTGTGCATCTGCAACAGCTGGGGTGAGCATTCAAAGTGATGCATGTGTGAAGGTTTTGCATTTACTCGGTGATGCTGGCTGAAATGCTGAAAGCAGTAGCCTAGAAGGGGAAGGTCAGACGTAGAGCAAATTGTAGAGGAGCATTTCTGTTGAGCTGAGCAGGACATTGAAATATAAGATCCTTCATTCTGGGCTTATGACTTCCTGAATGACAATTCAGAAAAAGTCATTTTTCTTCAGTGGCCGGGGTGCTCTTTGTATTCTACTTTAAACGAGCCTCTTCCCTTCTGCTTTTCTACATTTCTTAATCCCTCAGCTCCCTGATAGAAATCCCTTGAGATTATGTGGCATCAAGAATAATTCTGTGGCCAGTCTTTGTATTTTTACCCAGTACTCATGTGAAGAAAAGCAGGGGCAAAGGTCAGAAAAGTGAAGCCTCATAAGGAGAAATAGACAGAATTGCTCAAAATCCAAACCTCCTTTTCTTGACATCTAGGTCACTGCTTTTATTACTAACTTGTTCATGAAACGATAAGGATTTCTTCCCCAAACATGCCAATTTTGAATATAACAAAACCAGGGTAGCAGCTTTATTCATTTATTGTACCAATCAATTATTAATTGATATTGATTGTTAATGAATAAAAGGCTAAAAGATGAATAGCCTGCTGCCTGGACAAGTATGCTTGTGCCCATTTTCCAGATGTAGAAACGAAGGCAGACAACCCATGATTTGTCCAGAGCAACAGCGCAAGTCCATGGTATTTCTGTGTCACATGTGGTGGCTGAGGCTGTCAGGTCAGAGAGACCTGGGTCAGGTCAAGGTCTGCCACTGTCTGCTTGTGTGCCCTCAGGCAAATCACTTCACTTCTGTAATCATCAGGTGCCTCGTCTGTGAATGGGATCAGAAGTACTTCATGGGGCTGTTTTGAGTAGAAAATGAGAGGATATATGTAAAGTGCTAATCCCAGTGCCCAGCACAGAACATAACGACTGTAAGTGTTGTTGTTATTGTTGTTGGTGGTGGTAGTAGCAATAGTAGTAATAGCAGTAGTAGTTGTCAATTACTGCATTGTGACTAAACCTGTCTTCTGTAAGATGATGTCAAGAAGGGTCAGACTGCCTGACAGCCCAGAGTCATTTTCTCGTAGGCCCTTTAGGGGGACAGTTCTTCAGTCTGAAAGTTTCAGCTGTCAGGTTCTCCCTGTCTTAGCACTATATACTGCCCTCGCCATACTCCAAATGAGCCTACCAAGGTCCAGGCTCTGCCCAGTTGACAATTTCAACTCTGAGCTGGAGACACAGCTGGGCCTATCTAGGGGCTTCCTGCATCCCACATGTGATCAAGTAGGTTCCTGCATTAACCCTGGAGGTGAGGTAAGGGAAAATACTCTGTGGCATGTAGGTCAGCAAGGACTTGTTCTTTGGGGGATGAGGAGGGAGCATTTGGTTCTATAGGGTGAGATTCCCACTACCACATGGCAGCCCCAGCTCACCACTCTTTCTCTCTCATAAAGATGTCTTCATCAGCTTCTCTCCAGGACTATGCCTGGGGGCCCAGAATCTGTAGTCAGGGACTTGCAGATTTCCCTGTAAATATCACAAGAAGCCAGGTGTGGTGGTGTACGTTTCTGTAGTCCCAGCTACTTGAGAGGCTGAGGCAGGAGGATCACTTGAGCCCAGGAGGTCAAGTAGCTATGGGCAACATAGCGAGACCTCATCTCTCAAAAGAAAAACATTTAAACATTTTTTTTTTAATCTCACAAGGAAAAAAAACAGTTTCATATTCTATTTTAAAGGCTTTTTTCCCTTTAAAACAAAATAAAAATATAGGCTTTCACCAGGCTGCCGGTCCCTTTAAATAACATTTTGTTTTCTCTTGGGGAAGCTGACTTGATGGCCGAAGAGTCATTTCTAAAGTGAAGCTAGTTTTTAGAAAAAATAGATCACCGGATGTCAAGCCTCATGTGGAGCTCGGTTCAGATGAAAATGAAACCAGCAGGCCTGGCCTGGCAGCTCTGCACTTGACTTCAGGCTACAGGCAAGAGGCAGAGTGTGCCTGGACCTTGCTCCATAACTGGTTGGCCCCACAGACTGCATTTGATAGATGCCTTAGTCATTTTCCAAGCAGCTTTGCTTAGGTGAGCAGAGCACTTTCCCTGGAAGGTGAGTCACCCATGCAGGGGTGTAGGTGACAGGCGATTTATTCCCCAGCACAGTTGCAGAGAAAGTCCTTGGTGAGGAGCCCTCTGCCAAAGATCACCCCCATCCCAGCCCCATGGCTATGGAGGGAGGGGGCAGGAGGCAAACAGGAGGCTTCTGGGGCCTGCGGACTGACAGCGGAGGG